CGCATAATTATGAGGCAGAAAAATGCCACAACTGCAGCGACGATGACGGCCGAACAGAAATTGTTTTGCTAATGTTTAGCGTGCCTCTACCTCAGCCTCTACCTCTGCTTCCGTTTGTTGCATACTTCTCCCGGGTGGTGTTCGACTGCGATGCGCTGAAAAGGGTTCAAGAAAAGACTGAGACGGCGCCGATGGCGGGGGCTCAGTTATTTCATATGCGCCACCTAAAAGTATGCCTTAAGAAATTGCGAAACTTGTCTCGCCCTAATGAAGAGCCGTCTGCTCCTGCAGCAGTACATTTCGCCCAGGTATTTCGGGCTAAAAATGCCTCAGTGAGAGAGGAATGCGAAGGGCTGTTGCCCTCCCTCCCCGCCGCCATCTGCAAATTGTTGAGTGCGTAAAAAGGTAAAGCACTTTGTTTGGCAGCTAACTGCGCCCCTGCTCTCCCACTACATAGACATACTCACATATATTTCGCCGTCTTGCCTCGCACCTGCAGGTGTATTCACACACCGACCGCACTCGGTGCCCATAAATCCTCGGCAATCGCGCTCAAAAATCAAAAGATACCACCGGATAGGGAGACAGGCGAACATAAAATGCCAATTTCTAGTTGCCAAATGGTTATTGCCACAACAGCAGGGAGCAGAGGCTACGAAAGTAACAAATTTACCACACACCGATACATGCAGAGATCGGCCATTGCATTTACCTATATCCACATGCGCACACACACTAGCACACACACACATACACAGTGCCTTATCCGCGGTCACTGCAGCAGGTAAAGCTAAGTGGAGCACAAAAATAAAAACGGCAACCAGAAGGCAATTTGTTGCGCCATGGCAGGCAGGCGAGTGACCGACTGGAAGATACCCTAGAGCAGTGGAGTTGGCTTGTTGCTGGGACTAAATGAATTTTGCTTGGCTCTGCACTTCATTGTTTATAGCGCTATATATAATTAATAAATGTGCGTGACATGCGACTGGGTAAGACAGAGACAGAGACAGAGAGAGGGTGAGGGAGAGAGAGAGAGAGAGAGAGAGGAGGGCAGCATGCAGATATTTATTCATTGCAGTCGGTCTGATAAAAGCTGGACAAGAAGGGCAGAAGCACAGCACTTAGAAGGCATAAAATTTATAAATTACTATGCTGCGCCATAATAAATTTCAGTTTGCGTAAAAACGCAAAATTTATATACACCATGCAGCATAGTGTGTGGGGATGGACCCGACTGGGCTGTGAGTGGACTGAAAAACCCATTATGAATGAATTTAGTAGCAGCAGAGGCAGCGGCAACAGCAGCAGAGGCAGCAACGGCAGCAGCAGCACAAAAACCAAAACGTGCTAGCACATTTCGTCGTATTTATACAAATTTAAAGCATTCACCCAGCAGGCGGCGGGTGGGTGAGTACTCAGAATTTACGAGTATTTCCATGGCTGCCAGCGACGATAAACCAAACCAGTCGAAAGCAATAACGACGAGCCAATGCCAATAGACAGCGGACAGCGGACGGCGGACGACCGCAAAGGACTAAACATGACTAGACTACTTGTGCACTATAGAGCATCGGCTGGAAGTTAGTTGAAGGACACACACAGCCGGATGCCGCTCGCCCAGTCGCTAGACAAAGGTGGCGTGCCCGGCGTAGGCAGCACGGCCGTCCAGTTGCCAGTTGCCAGTTGCCAGTTGCCGGTGTCTGGCCTTTGGCCACCTCTGCTGTTTGGTCTGTGTCCAGGCCGGTCAATGACAGCTAAAGTTTTTCAAACTAACCTCGAAACGATAAAAAATTAAAGCAACAGTAAATGAGAGACGCGCAGACAGAGCAGGCGGACGAGGCAGACGGAACAGCGGTGGCCGGAGGAGCAGGCAGAGGATTCCGAGGAGGGGCAAGAGCATTTACTGCAACAAAATGCCGCAATGGGCTGTTATTATAATGAAAACGAAGCACAGAACCTGCCGCAGTAAAAACGGCAATGAGTAGTTGCCTTTGTGGCAAGCGGAGCACCCCTAACGGTAACGTCAAGTTGCCATTAATTTTCAAGTGCAATGTCTGTATTCGTATGCCTCTTCCCTCGCGCCCCCTCCGCTCAGCCTATGGCTTTCAATACACTCGTCGCGATATGCAAAGAAGGCGCACAAAAGTATGCTATAAAATTAGTTGATTTACAGAGGGAAAAAACAGATCAAAATAATTTCTCGTTTTTACCCTGTGTTACGGAAAACTTTAAATGCAGACCAGAGACATTCAACAATGTCAGAAGTAAGTGAAAATGGGAGCAGAACTTTAAGTTTCTATACACATATGAAACTATCTCTTCCAGTGACAGCCTTAAAGCTTTAAACGGCATTGTTCTGCGCTCTTTCAGCGTGTTCAAGACTGTAAAACACGCCCGGAATTGGGTGAATCACGGCGGAGCGGCCAACGGGCCAGCATCACCCTATCAATATGTTGACTTTTGTTCAACTGTTTTATTTAATTTCGTTGCCTTTTTTTTTTACCTTGCTTTTTGGACGAAAACTCGACCGTGCGCTACAGCAATTTATGAAATTTTCCTCGCATATATGCATATATACATATGCATATATACCCTATATATATATTTGTATAGTACAAATATATTTTTTAACTCTTTCCCCAAAGTTATATGTCGCTTTCTGAAACCTCGCCTGTGTGTGTGTGTGTGTGTGTAGTACCAATCGCACCGAATTCGCTTTTTTTCGTATTTGCAAATGGTGCATAAGCATTTTTTCATGTTCGGCCAAATAAAAAATGAAGAAGGCAAATAAAAGCATCTGGAGTCCGGAAAAAATTGAAACTATGGCAATATATGGACGAACTTTATGCAGAGTATTGTATATGCATTTCAGATATCCTGCATTCAATGGAACTGGGCCCTCAAATACCTTTAGAATACGCTGCAGCCTCAGTCTCATGATTAGTTTCGGGATCGAGCTGAGCGAGAATTGTGAAACTCAATCGAGGAATCACTTGTAACAGGGTAACTACTCGTCGATCAGTGAGGACTCAAGACTTTCGTCTGTTTATTTTTGCATGCATATCAAGTGAGGCAAAATATTTTATGGCCGTTCACTTAGCCTCTCCAGCCACAACTCTCCTCCGCACAGTCATCGAATGCAACTCGGATCCAACTTTCGCTCCTGGGCTGGGCCTCGGCGCTTTTCTCCAAATGGGTGCCAAAAGTCAACAAATAATATTTTTGCATAAAAATCGTCACTGAAATGAAAATATTCGGGTGCAACCATGCAAGTGGCATGGATAGTCGACGTAGGCTTAAAAGCCCGACAAACCAAACAGGCCCTATGTGTGTGTGTGTGTGTGTGTGTGTGGGAGAGGGAAATCTCAATTTGCACAAAATTTAATCAATATCTGCTTGCTTCACCACTATGGCTATGCTCTATGCGAGCTGCAACCTCTGCGCCGAGTTCATTGTGGGCTGCTTATAAATTTATGCACATATGCAAATAGAATTTTCAAAATTGTCATTTAATTGCACTTTAGACAGCACCAAGGCCCAAAAATGATATGCAAAATGCGAACGGCGCTTCACTCTGTTCAATATTAATGCGTTTCATTCAAGGACCTGCGGCCATTGTGCAATGCTCTTTAAAGGCTTTAAATAGGTCCAGTCCGAGTTTCACATTACGATTACGAAAGCAACTGAGACAATGTGAAACAAAAAGCAAAAAGAGAGCCGAAAAGAGAAATGAGAGAACAGCAATTTAATGGGACGCAGCGAATTCTAGATAAAGCTTGGCACACATACAAAGCACACACGCGCAAAGGGAGGGGGAGCGAGGAGAGCGGGAGGGGAGCTTGCATGTGTATTTGCACAATGTGAAAGAGTCAACAAAAGGCGGTATTCAACAAAAACACAAATACACGCACGCGTAAGCAAACTGCCCAACAGCCAGAAAGTATGGTTTACAGCTGTATAACACACACATGCATGCATAACAATACACACACACACACGCACAGTGGAGTGTATGCTGTATGGCTGTTCTGTTTCTCATCTTGCGTGTTACTTTTACTCACATTTCCAGCAGCTTTTTGTGAATTCCATCAAATCCAATTGTCCTGCATATCTCTCTCTCTCTCTCTCTATCTCTGTCTCTATCACTGTGTGCGCTTATCACAATTTATTATCACATATTTTGGAAAACGTTTAGCCATTATCAAAACCCTTGCCTGAGCGACAACAGTTAAATGCAGCGCAGTTTAAGCCATTTTATCTCCAGCCCCAGCCTCAGCTTTGAATTTCGCCCTTCAAGCCGCATGTGTGTGAGTGAGTGAGTGTGCGTGTGTGTGCACATAAATGTGCGCCAAAAAGGCATTCGCATTTATTTGCTAGAATTTGGATTTTTTTTCTTTTTTGTTTTCTTTTTTTTTTTCTATCGTAGGCCCCTGCGGCCGTTTGGCATTTCGTTTTTTTTTCTCTGTTCGTTTGTTTAGTGCAGGGCACTTGTTGTTGTTGTTGTTGTCGACTATTTTCACTCCACTTTCGAATGTTTTTATCCCTAAAGTCTGCTTGCGGATATGCACACATACACGATCCAGCACACACACCCTAACATACACCGTAGGAATATTGAGAAAAAAGATTGTTGGAAAAACAATAAATGGCAAATGTATTGCGGCATTTTAGGCGCATGGCGTAAAACAAAAGACCTGCAAATTTTGCAAAATGCTGTTGGCCTCTGCCCATTTTCTCTCCCTCGCTCGCTCTCTCTCTCTCTCACTTGTTCGCTGCCTCACAGGTTTTAGTTTTCATGTTTTGCATTTTTAGAGCAATATGGCAAATGGAATTTTTCGTGCACGTCGCGCGCTAAACATTTAAGTGAGCCAAGTGGCTTTTTGCAAGCGGGGGCGACGATTTGCATATGGCTTTCGTTTCAAAATGGCCCACATATACAAACACATATATACATGCACACGTGCATGGGGTGCGATGAAGTGCATCTGTAAAATACTCACTTAGATTTCCACTAGGAATGTAAACGTTGCCCGATGGCGTCCGCACCAAACACGATGGCTCAAAGTCAACGCCCAGATCATTGGGATTGTTAGCAACAGCGCCGGCAATTAAACGAGCATTATTCATGCGGCTCATTGTCGGATTACGTGGCGGAACATCCGGTGGTGCTGTTGGCGTGACTCCCTCCAGGAGAAAGCCTGCAAATAGTGACAGAGAAGGACATGTGTGTGAGAGAGTGAGTGGAATGTGAATCGAGGCTGGTGACTGTAAAAGCATTTTGATTTCTTTACGCTCTCGATTCATAAAATATTCACCGAGAGCCGAAACACAAGCAAATAAACGGGCAAATCCATAATAAATATATTTTCACTTTATATACCCTGCACAGGCAGCCAGCGGGTGTGCCCGACGTGCACTTGAGGTGCGCCCTGCCCTCCAGCAGGGCAGCCCGCTAGTCGAGTAAGCTCGATTAGGCAGCTCTTGTGTCATTCTGTACTTTTTACTGTACTTTTGACATTAAAGTTCAGATCCGTAAATTTTTAAACAACGGCAAATGGAATTTGTGGGTGGGGTGGTGGTGTGAGGTGGGGGTTGCATGCCAGCCTCAGCTCCTGCTGCCGGGGCATGCAATCAGTGAGCATTGAGAGCCGAAAATCAGGCAGAAATAAAAATGAAATTATTTAGCAGCATTGAAAATTCAATTTGTTGCTGGGCGGAGCCAGACAAACAGCGTTCGAAAATACTCACAAACACACACACACGCGCACCCACATAGCCACATGGATGTAGAGAAATGTGTCTTCGGCATAGAGCGAATTGCCTAGCGAAAGGCAATTCGAGAATCAAAAGCAGGACACCGCTGTCTCTCCAAGAAAGAAATCGAAATAAATTCAATTTGCTGCTTTGGAAGATTTGAATGTCGCCGACAACTGCTTCCAGGAGGCAGCATCAGCATCAAATGCCTTTGATAAGCGCATGCACATACTTAAAAACACGCACACACACACACACACACACACACACACACACACATCCAGACATTCAGAGGCATAAGCAATACACATAAATAAAAAGGTATTCAGCTGAGTGTGTGCGCGGTAACACTCCGCGTGTGGAGGGGGAGGGAGGGGACAGCAGAGCGCGCGCCAGGATCCATATAATAAATTTCAAAAGCATTCGCATTCAGTCGCATAGAAAATTTTAAGCTCATTTATAGGCTTAAAATGCGCGGCGACGGGGCGACGGGGCGATGGGGGCGAAGTGGCGTGGGGCGTACAGTGGGCTAAGCAGGATTCTCGACAAATTTAAATGCCAAAAGCGAAAACAACAAAATCATAAAAAGCAAACGGCAAACGGAAACGCCTCAGGCCAATGCCAGAAATTTCGAAATTGTTGAGATTTGCTTAGCGCGAAAATTATATCCTGCCCAGGCCTAGCGCCCATGCAAGAGCCTCGCAGCTGGCAGGCTGGGATGCCATCAAGGACTGTTGACAGTGTGTCCAGCATCCTTCAGCCGGTTTCACTGCTCTCTCTCTCTCTCTCTCTCTCGCTCTCTCTCGCTCTCTACTGCGGTCAAATGACTAGAGGACCAGGCAAGTGACCAGCTCACCCAGGCAGTGGGAAATTTAAGCTGCGGAAAATATGACACCAGCTTGGGTTGCGGCCTGAATGGCCGTGGGGCTGGCGCATTATCATTCTAATGAAACGCGCCCGACGGGTCGCTCTGCAGGAGCTGGCAGAGTGCTGCCTGACTGCTGCCAGCAAAGATTATTTCACGCGGTTAAACACAGTAGCAAAGTTGGCCACAAATTTTTCAACGGCAGCCGAACAAATTCGAAATTCGAAATGGCTGAGACGGAGCAGGACGAGGCACGAGGCACTAGGCACGAGGCGCGACTCATCCTCTGGCAGGGCTTTGTCGGTCAGCTGTGATTAAAGGGGGCGGGGCTGGGAGGCGTTGGCTAAATATATTCGTGGGCTTTTGTCTTTGGCTTGTGTGTAATTAGATTTGAGATTTAAGGCGCTTAGCACTGATGAGCAGCAAATTGAAATTGCCAGCAGCTGACAGCCGCCGCGCATGGGGCGTATGCGCAATGTCGCCAGCACAGCGTATTGAAAACTAAAAAGCGGGCAGCTTTGGCCCGCTCAATAGAGGCGGCGCTCTAATGGCAGCTGCTGTGCCAACATAATCCAAACAAAAAGTTGAGCATTCTGCTCGAGCCCCAGCGCTCGAGTTGCATTTCAGACAAATTATTTTGCCATCAAGCGCAAAAGTTAAGCTTCATTCTTAGCATTTGCATACACAGACGATAACGTTATTTAAACACACATCCCAGAGGGAGGGAGTGAGAGGGGAGTTGAGGTAGATTGTGGCTGCTACATGCACATTAGTTTAATATTAAACACCGAGTGGCAAAATGTCAATTGTGGTTGCTCCCTTAACTTCTCTTCTCCCAGGGCTGCTGCCAGCGGTTTAGCAAAGCAGCCAAAGGACCAAAAAAAAAAGAGAGAGAGAGAGAGAAAAAAAGAGCAGCTGGCGACAATGGCAGCTCTGGCGGCCAAACAAAAGTTGCTGCAATGGTCGCCGCTCGCTTTGGCCGTTAGCATCCGCAGCCAGACAGGCGTAAGAGCAGCCAGGAGGAGCAGTCAATGTGAAAGCGCATCCAGCAGGAGTAGTAACAGCAGCAGCAGGAGTAGTAACAGCAACAACAGCAGCAACAACAACAACAACAACAGAGCAGGCAATGGCGCTGATAAGCAGCTTATCTTCATTTCTACAACCTCCAGCGTTTATTTTTGTGTGGGCGTTGTTTGTTTGTTTGTTGTTGTTGTTGCTGCTGTTGTTGTTATTGTTGTTGTTGGCATTGTCGTTGTCATTTTGAATGCGAATTGTCGTCGTTGTCGTCATCTATGTTGCTGTTGTTGCTGTTGCTGCTGCTGCTGCTTTCTGGGTACGCAAAATGTGTAATGGCATTTCGTCAGGCGAAGCATGAAAAGCGACAACACACACACACACACACACTCACACAGACAAGGATGCTACAAATGCCAGTGGAAACGTATGTGTAGGTGTGAGTGTGCTTGTGTTTGTGTGTGGCAAAGCAAATTTACCCCGCTGCGTCTTTTTGGTGGTGTAGCTGTTGCCTCCGCTCCTGCTCCTGCTGTTGCTGCTACTCCTGCTGCTCCTGAAGCCATCTTAACTGCTGGCTGCTGCACCGCTGATGGCCTTTGTGGTGGGTGGCGCAGCTTAATGCTTTTATAATGCATTCAACAACAAATGAAAATGAGCACAGCAAATGGCAAAAGTATTTACATTTGCAGCTCCTCAATGGAGCGCCCCGACTCCTGCTGCTGTTAGCCTCGTAGCCCAGACTATCTAACTAAGCAAGTAAGTAGCCCAGCTGCAGCTGCAAAGTCTTGAGCAGCGCCCAAAACTATATTACGGTAATTCAATTAAAAGCGTCTCAGGATGGGCTGCGGCAGGCTGGAAACGAAAAACGACACCAGGCGCTTGCGGCATGCCAGGAATGAACAATGCAGAGAAGGCGGGAGGGGGGGGGGGGTCTGGTCATGCCAATGTGCCTGCTCCTGCCAAGGTGCCAACAGCAGGAGCAGCAGAAACAATAACAACGTCATCAGCATTCTGCTGTCCGCCTTCATCTTTGCTGGCTTCATTCGTGCGTCCCGACGTGGAGAGAAATGTAAAACACTTTTGGTATGACAGCTGAAATGTCAGTTAAGCATGAATTGCCCCAGTCTCTGCCAGCGCTGAGGCAGGCGTAATCAAATTGTGTCTGTGCTTTTTCGTTTTCCACTGGCTCCAGCTGGGCTAGGTGCGCCCGGCATGCCAGGTGGCTGAGGTGGCTGAGGTGGCTGAGCTGGCTGGGGCGACACCCGCCGAGTGCTTGTTGCCAACAGCTTCTTTACTTTATTTACACTTGTTGCCACGCCGGGTTAACTGCGGATTAAGTGCAGCACTTGCCGGTGTCGAGTTTATGAATGTCGTCTGCAGCCTGACAACATATTTAAGCAGATGCTGCGATCGGGCGCCGGCTGCGGATCGGCAGAGCACAGCCACAGCCGAGTGCAACAATGTTAGCCAAATGAACTCGGCGTGCAACGCTGCGTATACGCAATGTAGTCGAGTGACTGCTCTGTTTATACTTTGTTAGTGCCCGCTGTTGCTGTCATTTTGTTGATAAGCAGATGATGCCAGAGTCCACTCACACACACACACACAGACACAGAGATACTAATACACACACAGACACAAGCCAAATAAAAGGAGCCCAAGTTGACAATTATTTAGCTGCGTGTGCGTCTATGTATCCCAGTGTTTGCCTATGGTTGTTTATGTACCATCAGTTGAATGCACCTAGTTAGAGTCGGACCTGCCCCTAGCCCCCCTGCCCCCTGTGCTCTGCTGTGCTGGCCCGTAATGCGGGCCATCTATATGCGAGCAAACGTTTGCCATTGCCGTTCGACGTTCGCCGTTCGCCGTTCGCCTCTGTTTATATTTGCATACATTTGCAGCGATGCATGTGTGAGTGCGTGAGCGTTCGATTGGGCCGGGGAGCAGGAGCCGCCTGTGCTTGGCATCCCTGGCAACACTGTGCACAATGTCGGCGAAGTCAGGCTGGAGTCCAAATGGCCCAGTTTGGCCATAGACTCGCATGCCACAATCGTGTATGAGGCCTCTAGCTTAGCAGGTCTGTGGGGCTTATTAGATGCGGTAAATGCCTTTTTCGGGGCCTCTTTAATGTCGGGTCTATCCAACTATTTATGTTGCTTGTCATGTTACCGACTCCTACAACTCATGCTCGCACCTTCGGGCTGCCTGCCCCAGCCCACCCCTCCTCCGGCCCGCTTGCCTGCAGCGGCTAATGCGGCTGTTGTTTGTCAAACTTTTGCGCTAGCCCCGCCCCCTGCGGGCGTGGAGATTTATTTAGTCCGAGTGTACGGCCACAAAACTTGGATTTACTTCGACACAATTGTCAGCTTAGTCACGTTTCATGTTTCTCTCTCGGCGCGCGTGTGTGTATATGTCTGGGATTTGCACAAGGCGCAAGGCGCAAGGCACACACACACACACACACACACACACACACACACACACACACACTCACACATACCGAAGAGTAAGTACGTTAATACTAAACACAACATATAAAGGTAAAAAGCCAAAGGCACGCGATGC